ATAATGAAGAATCTGCATAAATGTATCTGTTTCTTGCATTGTGATAAAACAACGGTACCTAGAGCCATCCAATTTTGAATAATGTAAGTCTCCACCAGAATATGGGCATCTGGAAGCCCAAATTTGGGATTTGGTTCATTATATATTTCCTATTTTGTAAAGAATAAATTAAGAAACCGAAAAAAATTTATTTAAGAAACAAAAAAAAAAAAAAAAAAAAAAAAAAAAAAAGCATTTTTATCTCCAGCTTGAGAGAGTGTGTGTAGGAAATTCTCAAGATATGCTCTTTTTAAATTATTTTGCAACACTGCTGTTGAATTGAATTTTATGATTTAAGTGCGAAGAACATTATATTTAATAAATTATGATAGCACACAAAAAGCTAAAAAAAATGCTCTTTTGGGCATTACATTAAATATGAAAGCTTTCAGGTTCTTTTTTTTTTTTTTTTTTTTTTGTATTATCATTATTTTTAATTTTACATATATAAGTAAGTTTTAAGAAATAAAAATCACAGATTCTAATTGCACTTAAATTCAGTTCTAATAAATGGGATGGATCAAGATCTTAATTATCTGAACTTCGACTTTATACAGTTTCCTTCCCATTAAAAATGAACATGAGTAATGTATCAGAAAAATCTATAAATGAAGCTCATTAATTAACCAGTGTGATATAAATCCTATTCAATGATTTAAAGGTACAGATTTGATTAAGTTTTATTCGTACATGTCAAAAATTAAGTAAACTCAGTTACGAATTTTTGCACTAAGAATAATCGCTTTGTTCGAAAATACAGTGATATGGTTGGTGCTTTTCACAGTTGAAAATTAATAAGAAAATAAGCCGCTTGACAGATGAGTATCTAGGTACAATGCGTGCTGAAAGTAATTCTAGTAATTTCTTTCCAAAGCTACAGACTTTATCAGATCGAAACGCCATCAGATGTTACACAGAAATATTAGTACTTTAATTTTTCCCTCGAAGAAAAATTTAGCAAATAAAAAATAGGGGTATTTATTATTTAACCTTAAATTTTTCACCACTTGATAAATTTTCTGTTCATAAATTAAATAATTTTTTTGAAGTTTAAATTAAAATACGTTGTTTAATGATTAATTAAGCATACTAAAATTATTTGAAAGGAATGTTAGTGTAATAATTTAATATTTAGTTGTCAGTATATTATTTGAATTACCAAGGGCAACCAATAAAAAATATCTTACCGACTTTAGATTTCAGATTAGAAAATAAATATAAATTTGAATATTTTCGTTTGTGATATTATTATTATTATAATTTACGTAAGTTTTGATAAGTATTTAGTGAGTGAAATTTAAAATTTATTAAAAATATTTTTATTTTGTTAATAAAATCCTTCTTTTTGATGGAAAAAAAATTCGCCCGTCAGCTGCTTGCAGATCGTGCATTCGACCTTCAAAAATAAATATTAGATTATTTTACAGAATTCTTTATATAAAGAGTGTAGCATTTTCAGAACGACATTGGGGCCATTTAATTACTGTTTAAAATGAAGAGAGTATTTTTTTAGATGTTTGATGTAATACCCCTTTTTTTTTTCTGAACTATAAGTCTGTATCTTGATTTTCTATGATATATGGGTTTTTCATTAAATTTCCAGTTGTATTGATTTTCATCCTCTTCCACTAGTATCCAAATTCCATCAATCGTGGTGGGTTTGTTCTCAGAAAGAGCTCTTTTCTAGAGACCAAGGCACAATAGTCCATACGTGAAACATCAGAACACTTCGCAGGAATGTTTTGAAAATGCATATATGTAATAAGCATATCAGTTTTCATTTTTAACTTCCTTGTAGGAAGTAAAAAGGAAGTATTGTAATCGCGAAAAGTTTCAGGCATCATATTTCAACGAAAATATCCATTTTGACCGCTATCGAATGCAATTTAACGATGTTTTTGCGTGACGTCTATACGTAAGACAGAATAAAAGACTCTTTTTCTCCAAAAAAATTTTAGAACTGGTTTAAAATGAATTCTGAAGATAATTTTTCGTGGCGTCTGTACGTACGTATCTCGCATAACTCAAAAACGAGTAACAGAACGTTGAAATTTTGTATATAGGACTGCTATAACATGTAGATGTGCTCCTCGTATTTTGGTTACAATTCGTCCGCACCAAAAGTATATAAAATATATGTATGTAATGATTTTAAAATGCGTAGATAAAGGTACTGGAAAACTTTAACGGCTTGCGATACTGCGTAGATGACCGAGAAGAGCGTAGTGCGGCAGAGTGGAAAGCATGGTAACGCAAATTTAGCACAACGTATCTTGAAAAATCACAATCTTTATTTTTTCCACGCATATCAAATCATCCTTTTTCAGACAAAATGTTTTCTGATTATATTTGAATACATAAATTGTATTTTGAATTAGAAAGTCATCTTAGTAATAAGCAGCAGCAGCATGGTTTAAAAGCGTCTTGCCAGCACGAGAGCTATGCGGGAAAAGGGCAGAGTATCATAGAACTTCAGAGGAAGAAGGGTGGAATTGGGGAAAGTTTCAATTCAGAGTTTTGGTTTACAATTAATTTGATTGGACAAAGAGGCATCTGCATTAAAACGTTACGTAAGATAGAAAAATCTGGAACCTGTGAGAAGATTTGAATTTAGGGGCAGAGTATCAAATTTAGAATGTTAGTTTTGAGGTCGCCAATTATTTTTTTGAAAGAGCTATCATATTTTGTTATATCTTACATGTATATATATATATATATCCCCTCTGTTACCCGGCTCTGTGATTTCAGTTTCTTTACTCTTATATGTTTTTAAGATGTACATTTTTTGCTTTAAAATGATTGAATTATGTTGTTCTTATCTTCCGGTTAAGGTTTTTATGCCTTTTGTAAATCTGCATGCAATATTTGTGGAGTTATCAACAATTTAAAAGTTGTTTAAGTGCAGCTAAGCCTAATTATTTTTGCGATGGCGGACATGTTTGTTTACATTTCAAACTTGGCAAAATAGCAGATTTGTTGCCAATCTAGAGAAAGTAAGCTTCGCAACAACAAAGTTAACGCCTTCTTTTATTATTGCGAATTAAATCATGTTTAATCCACTCTGGAATTTATTCGAGGAAATAAGTGTTTAAGATTTACTTTGTAATTTTTAATATAGATATTTTGAGTTTTTATGTATTTTTGCTTTGTCTGGAAGTGAGAACTGAATTAATTGAATGAGAAATACTGAATCGTCTGTGAAAAACTGTTTCTTTTTTATTTTGTTTACTTAATTTCTTTTATACATCGTTTTAAGTTTATTATAGTATTTGAATAGAACATGTGGCAACGGATTAGATAATTCTTTTCAAATGATATAGAATTTGTGCATTCTGAGTTGTATAATATGAATGAAATGTAACACTGTTAAGTAAACCTAGCGCCAGAGTGTCGCTATGGTAAAGAAATATAGAATATGGTAAACAAATATCGAATTTTGAAAGAAGTGCATTTATTTCTATTGTGGCTTATTCGCTGTCGGCGAAGTAGATTTAATTCAATCCAATAATTTAAAATAAAATGCAAGAAAAAATGCATATAATTTAATATTCCGTACAAGGAAGTAATGTGGTGTACACATCAGATTTTTTTTTTTTTTTTTCCCAAGGAATGCAGAGGTACTTTTTGAAGTATGACTTGTTGCTTTGTCTTGAGGAAGTTTTACTCTTTGAGAGTCACTGGAACATAGAAATGGAATTTCTTCTGTGAATATCGAGCTTAAGACTTTTCATTAGATAGAAGGTAAGGTTGAGTTGATTTGAAAAAAAAAATTTTTTTCCTGCTCTGCTAATTCTTAATTTCGCATTGTAAGAGAACTCTGTGACAATCATAAACCCCTTACTGAAACTTTCTTTGTATTGACGGAACCAAGTTTGTACATTTTTTCATTTCCTTTTCGATAATAAATAACCCTTTTTTTTTGTTTGTCATTTAAGTAAACCCATGCTTCATGAAGGATTACAATGTATTTTCAATTTATCTCCTGCTAAATTGTTTTCATACAGGGTTCTACAAATTATTCAGCGTTGAGCCACATGCTTCCGCAAAAGCTGGTGAATATTATGTTTTTTTTTATCATATTTTAATTGTAAATCTTGTCTGATTATTTTATTTATTGTTGCTACAGTTGTAATAAAAGTCGTTACAATTGATTTGCAAGTTTTCTGTGGTTACAAACGATTTAACTTTAGAAATATTGGAAACAATTCGTATCTTTTTCGGATATTCGTCGTTGGAGTCTTATTTCCATGTAGAAGTAATGATGGTTTTCCTCTTTCCGATTCATAATGTTGCTTATTTCGCGTTTAGAAATTTTTATACCATGCATTTCACAACGTTTCTGAATTATGGAATAGGAATATTTCTCATTGGAAAGCGAAAAAATATATTCTGCAATCAACAGCTTGTTTACATGCGACAGTTTGAAACAAGAATAAATTTAAAAGAAGCAGACAATATTTCTCATTTAAAATAATGAGCTGTTGGCAGAATTTTTTTTCAAAATATTTCTTTTTATATATTATATATAATATATATATTTTTTAATTCAATATCGAAATCGATCTAAAATTGTGTAAACACTTTATATAATTCTCATCAATAATTTCCATTATATACTGAAATGAATCAAAAAGTGGAACAAACGCGTGCCTTCGATTCTGTAAATGGGCCCCCGTGATTTTACTCACCTGCTCTTCCATTTGAAAAAAAAACAGGCTTTCTTACAACATGGCGAGTTGCAAAGTAAGTGTGAATACTTATATTCATATCGCTTTCGGGCTCAAATATCACTTGAAGGTAAGAAAGGTTAAATATTTAAGAGAGATGAAAACGGGAAGTCCCTTTTTGTTTGTTCACACCAAGGTCATTTCGCTGCTTACCAGGCAAGTATAAATTCGCCAAGTTTGGCGCTACAGAAACAATTCTAGCATCCACGCCGCCGTTCCACGATGATGGCTCGGCAATAGGGATTTTCCCTAACTAAATTCAAACCAAAACCAAACTGTCTCCGCTGTGTACTTCAGATAAAACACGCGCTTATCAGCTGATCCAGATATTATGGCAGTGGTATATATAATCAGTATTCTTTCGTGAGCGTACACTTTTCAAACAACGGTAAGTCTTTGGAAGCTCTCTAACTGATCATTGCATATTCATTCTCTTCAAATTTTTAGTGCATTTATGAGGTTTATTATTTCTTTTTTTAAGTAAATTTTGCAATTAAAATTTTCTTTTAAAAATGTTTTTCAATATGCGTTTATATATTATCGCATTGCGTATTTTACTGTGCAACATTTTTATGTGCGAAATAGTGCATTTTTAGTTTTGATGACAGATTCAAATTTATATCTTTATAATATTTCTCAAAAGATTTCATTTTTAAATATAATTAAAAAAATAATATAAAAATAAAATAAAATTCCTTCTGTTCGCTATTATCAGGTTTTTAAAACTTCATTTTATTAGGTATTAGTTATTTATGTTACTAAACTGTATTTTTCTTCTTTATTTCGTTAATATAAAATCAAACACATTTGATTCTACTAACAATAAAGTAATTACTTTAATTTACTAACAGTATAACTAATAATTTAACTACTAAGTTTACTTACTTGAAACACACGTACATTTATGCAAATTCTTCATTATTTAATTTCTTTAAGACAGGGCGATAATATTTGGTGGCAATAATGTAAAAAGTGATGCGTCGTTTACAGTGAATCGACGCAAAATGCCATTTCCAGATCAACGCTCCTTTGAGCTAAAAAAAAGTTCTAGAAAAGTAATTGATAGTTCGTATGGAAAATTTTTATTTTAAATTAATCCGACCTTTGCTAATGTGAATGTCCTTGAAGAATTTGAAAAGCTCTCTTTTCCTTCTTTTAACGTAAACATATGAGGTAAATGCACAAATTGAGCTCTGTTTTTCCTGGGAATTCTGGAATATTGCGGAAATTTACCTAGCTTTCTTTTTGGTGCCTAAAATCCAATAGAAAGTAAAAAATTTCAGGCTTGTTTCAAGCGCACCTATTCGTAAATCGAGATATCTTACTTCTTTTAAAAGTGATAGCTTTAAATGCTAAAATATTTTCTCGCAGTCTTTATGGAAAATCATTGCCATTCAATCAAATTCAAGCCATTTAAGCAAATCTTGATTATTTTTATGCAGGATGTCTTCTTTTTTCAGAGAAAATTATTAAAAACCTTTGATGTAATACAGCTCATAATTTATTATTAACATTAAAATTTCGGAATGTAGTTATAAATTTTTTAAACCGCCATGAAATTTTTTGCCTGGGGAAAACAAACAAACCAAAAAAAAAAAAAAAAAAAAAAAAAAGAAAAGAAAAGAAGAAAAAAAAGTTATTCTTTGCAAATAATCTTCATAGATTACAGCTTTAAGTTCGTCAGAAATGTTTCAATTTTGGGGTTAGGTTATTTCATTAAGGCAAAGCTACCATCGGCGTAAGGTGTGTATTTAATTATGGCAAAGCACACGAGGGCTATCTGCCTAAGGGGAGGGATGCCTTCGTGGAGGACTTTCTAAGGGAAACTGGCTCGTATACACGTTACACATGGGGAAAACCACGAAAACGCCCATGCAGCCAGCCCGTTCGCGGGATTCGAACCTCGGACCGAACTACCAGTGTTCAGCGACTTTACCGCTCGGCCGCTGGTGGGCTCTCCATCGGCGTAAGGGTAAGGATATCTTCGTAAGGGAAACTGGCTTGTGTTCATGTTACGCATGGGGAAGCCACGAAAGCGCTCACATAGCCAGTCTATTCGCTAGGGTGTGGATCTGGGTCGAACTACCAGTGTTCACCGATTTTACTACTCTGCCACTAGTGGGTCCATTCATAGGTGAGGAACATGCGAAAAATACTGTAATGAAAGTGGTGCACTTATATTAGTCTAGATAAAATGTCATTAATGTAACGTGAAAAAAAAAAAAAAAAGGATTTTTTTTTCCTTCTAAAACATAAAGTTTTAATTTACATTTTGTAATGACTTAAGCAATTACATGTATGGTAGTTTCTAAGCGTGAAGTCAAAACTAATATTATGTAATCTCTTCGAAATTTTCTGAAAATTATCATTCATCCATATATTTTACAATGCATGTTTCGTTATTAAGCTATGCCGGTTTTCCATTTGAAGTTTTAAACAACATTTCTGAAGACCTAGCACTGAATATTTTCAGTTAACTTAGTACCTTCTTTCGGTTGAAAAGAATGTGACGAATCTATTTAATATTTCACATCTTCCACAGTTGTCGTATCGGGAAAGATGGCTATAGTTGCTTACCTTCAGCGTAAGAGTTGTAAAGAACTTGAATGGGACTTAAGTTCTTTGATAGTAGTCCATTGTAAGAGTAACGGGTTAAACAGAACAGGTCTGTACTTGCCTATGAATCATAGTGCGTACTCGTATGCCTTACGTTTATTCGTTTAACAGACGAACATGCTAATACTTATCTGTATATCACAATGTAACTTTCTTGTTATCTATCTGCGAAACGGAGAGCAGCCCTGAATATTTCAAAAGATACTGGATTTTTATGGAAACTGGCGAAACGGAAAACAGCCCTGAATATTTCAAAAGATACTGGATTTTTATGGAAACTGAAAAGACGCTTTAATTTATAATCGAAATAAGCCTTCTAGTACGTATAGTCCTGCATAGAAATTACTTGTAAGCCTATATTTCATAATAAACTACAAAATTAATCTGTAATCTATGCCATTTTCTTCGTAAGTTTTGTAAACTGGCTATTTCTTATATAAAGCTTGTTGGAACCACACGTAAGCAAAATATTTGAATGGTTTGCAGATTCCTTTTTTAGGTTTCAGAATATAATATGTAATCATAAATGAGAATTCTTCTTCGAGCTAGTAGAAAAGCTACTAAAACTGCTCTAACCGGAATTCATCTTTGAACCTTTGATGTTAAATCTATAACATTTAATTGCTAAATAATGCAAATAGTGTAAAAGATTAGGTTATGTAAAATTTTAATAAAATGGAATCTTTTCTCTCTATGTGTACCTTCTCGAGCAATATGTTCAGTTTTAAAGAAGTGTGTTTTAAGTAGTAAATTATTAAAATATTTGCATCTATGAAAACAACGGCATAGTGACGTAAAACATTTCTTGAATCATATTGCTCTTTCGGTCCGATTTTGTGATGAAACAGGAATTTCAGTATTTAAAAGCAATTGTTCATTGTGGAATGCATTCATCGCCAAATAATAAAAGGCAAAAATTCGAATTGTATTTTTATTCAGCTTAAATATTAAACTTTTTAAAATAACCTACCTTCTAAGTGCATAAAATAACCTACGGAAATCCGAAATATGCATATACATGTATTGCTTCTGAAAGTCTTAAGTTTTTAGACTGCACCCAATTTTTAACAGTAGTTGCTTTTGCAGCGCGTATCTGTATGCCTTTTGCATTTGGTGTTTCTGTTCTTTATTTTATTATTAGAAGAACTTATGTAGATTTTTCGGGTCACTGAAACTTTATCTTTTGAGTTGTTGAGAGTTTTAGTTTTATCTTTTAGACCTTCATGGTGGCTGCATAAAAAGTTATTCTTTTGCATTTTTAATTTAATTCTTATGACACTGTTGAAAGGGATGCAATTTATTCCTATCCAGAATTTAAAGAAACTCATCAAGTGGAAATAAAGATTTTACGTTAACAATTCGGAAGTTAAAATTGTTCTTATAGTATTGGAAGCATCTTGTTGGAGTTGAGTTCTTGTTGCTCACAGTATTGCAAAAATTGAGAGATTCTCTGAAAAATAATTTTAACACTTTTTTTTTTTTTTAATATTCAAGAAGGGTCTGATTTGCAAAAATGAAGGTTCGGAAGAAAACCTGTTGTAGAATTCGCAACAGTGATAATTAATACTACATTGAAAAGAATTATAATTTCTTATAATTCTTTTCAATGTAGTAGTAATTATCACTGTTGCGAGTTACACAAAGCATTTTTTGAAATATATTCCTAATTTACAATTTTCCATTTAGAGTTATTTTTTAAAAAAAGTTTCTAGAATTTAAGAAATATTAAAAATTTTACGTGCCATTTACGTTTTATTGTAACCACCTTAGTAGAACCCCCATACCAGAGTTTCAGAATGCATCAAACTCTGTCAGTCGCGCGCATGTTAGTCTTCCATTTCAACAATCAACGTTGCTATTTTCTATGCTTCTTTTTGTTGTATTAAATTCCAACAAGGGGTTCGAATCCCAGCGAACGGGGATGGATGCATGGGCGTTTTCGTAGTTTTCCTCATGTGTAACGTTATAGCATACTGGCTAGTTTCCCTTACCTTAGGCAGATAGCCCTCGAGTATTTTGCCGTAATTAAATAAACCAAACCAACTAAATTCCAACGGCTTTAATGGAAAAATTATAATTATTTTTTATCTTAAACACAATTTTAAAATTTGTACTTGAGAGATTTACCTATAACTACCTATAACCTATAGCAAGTTAAATTTCTGGAGGAAAACAGTAAATTTTAGCAAAATCCTAGAGGAATATTCTTTGAATCTCTTCTCGCTATTCAAAAGATTGTCGCGAAGTATGGATCAAAAAATAAAAAGAACCGAATATTGTCATTTAAGTAGGTTTATTTATTGATTGATAAATACACGGTTTAATATAAGCTTGTATGGAAATAAATACAGTGGAACCTCGAGATACGAGCACCTTTATGTACGAGAAATTCGAGATACGGGCAAAGTATGAGCGAAAAATTTCTCTAAGTGCGAGCCTTAAGTAACGAGCAATGAGCCAGGTTGCTGGTATGCGAGGCGCCATTTCCCAATCCGGCTCGATTCGGGAAATCCCCTCGTCCGATCACTCGGTGTTCTTTGATATACGTGTTTGTGCGCTAGTGAGTCAATTGTTTATTACATTTAACATGAAAATAATTATTTCACGATGCCTCCCAAGAAGATTGTTGCCTCAGATAGTGCTACAAAGGAAAATAAGGAAGCCATGGCCGTTAAAATTAAGAAAGAAATCATAGATAAACAAGCCTGGTGTAAAGAGGAACGGAATTGGCGAAGACATCGAAACCGTCGATTTGCATTATCCTGAAGAAGC